TTGTTGCTCCACATTTTAAAAACTGGGGAAAATAGTAATACTACAGATTAATAATTGCTAGTGATGACTGAACACTTAATATATCCCAGGAATTAGTCTAAGCACTTTGCATATATCAAACTTGTTTAATCTTTATAATAACCTGTTAGTGCTATTACCATTCCCATTTTACAGATGATGGAAACTGAGGCACAAAGAGTTAGGGAGCTTGCCCAAGATTACATTCCTTGCACTGGTAGAGACTGAATTTGGCCCAGACTGTCTGACCTTTAATTACTGTGCTATACTGATGAACAATGGGTATTATTTATATACAAAAGACATGAACTTCGGTCAGAGCACAGTCAGTGGGCTCATAAAAACTTTAAACCTTCACCAAAATATTAACAAATAAATGTTAAATTATAGGTTTTAGGTTTCAAAAAGCTTAACATTTGCAAATTATCATTTTTTAATAATCCCCCTGCTTTAACTTTTTAACTTAGTTGGATACCAGTCCAATCACATTAGCTAGAAGGCTTTACCTTCTACAAACGGACAAGTGAAAGATGATGGTCTTAAATACCAGACTGGGAGATGGGATCTGCATATCACTGGAATGGGGAGTTACTGCATATACTTGAGCAGGATCATGGCATGATTTCACTGATGTTTTGGAGGGGTAATCCGGTAGATTGGTTTGGATTATTTTAGTGGGAATAATGATGAGGAAACAGATGAACAGAATGGGAGAACTCACTTGGATAATACATCAATTGTACAAATGTAAAAGGCGGTTGGGTTACTATTCAGGATTAAGGTTTTGCTGGCCTTAGGACATATTTGCTAAAACCATATTCATCCATCCATTTATTCATTCACTCACTTGTTCATTCATTCATTCAACAAATACCAACTGAGCACCTACTATGCCCTAGTGATAGATATAGTGGTAAACAAGACAGACATAATCCCTGCCTTCAGGGAGCTTATGGTCTAGGTGGGGGAGAAAGAAATTTAACGAATAAGTGCACAAATAATAACTATCATTGTAATCTACCAAAGTATACAGGATACCATAATAATATAGAATAATGGATCTATTCTAGTATTCATTAGTTTTGGGGTTCTTTAAGGGGGTGGCACAATCAGGTTTAATCCCACAACAATAAAAATGAGAATTCTAAATAATATCTGTACACTTTTCATTAACTCATTAGGCTACAACAACTCAGTAAAAGTGATATTATGTCTAGTTGACTCAATGTTATTATTATTCTATAAAATATTTTCTAAATGCCTACTATGTATGGGGCTCTCTTCCAGGAGTGGGACATAAAGCAATGGACAAGACAGATCAGGGTCTTGCCTTGACGTAGTTTGAATATACCACCTTCATTCCCATCACTGCTTCTGAGACGATCAAATACTTTACCCCTCAGGTGGAGATTCATCCTATTTCTTGTGGTAATCATAACTTCCCAGAGTTACAGATTAGTAAATGTCATACCTAAAGACTTAAGACATTGCGCATAAAACACTTTCAATAGAGCCTGGCAGGCAGTAGATGCTCAAAAATATTAACTATTGTTAGCATTGTGTTATTATTGCAATGCTAAAAATCATGTCCTTTCTGGTACACTGGCCTTCTTCTCTTGAATTAAATTCCATAAGCACTTATTGTAAGTGGGATTAATACACTGCTTCATTGTAATTATGAGATCAGTGAAGAAAGCCTCTTTAATATTGTCTAATTCCACCCTCAACACTTAAAAGCTGTGTGACCCTGGACAAGCACCAACCTCTGTAAGCCTCAGTTTCCTAATGTTGAAAAATGAGTAATAATAATACCCACCTATACTCATTCAATTTTGTCAGCAAAAATGGGCAGCAGAGCAGGGGTCAATAAATGTTAGCTATGAATCATAACTATTGTTAATACTCTGAAAAAGACATGGGTTAATCTACAGTTTATGTATGATTTCAAATGAATGTGAAAGACCAAAGCATGAGAATTTTTTTCTATCAAATTCAAAAATTATCAGGCATATTTAGAGCGCTAAAGAGAAAAAATAGGAAAATTTCATATTTTTGCTCAATTAAAAGTGTTTTCTTTTTTTTTTTTTTTTTCCTTTTTTACTGACCGGTAACAGGATCGCAACCCTCGGTGTCGCGCCCGTACCGGGGACCAGCAACGGGATCACAACCCTTGGTGTTGCGCCCGCACCGTGCTCAGCCAGTGAGCAGGAACCGGTCTCCACATGGCATCCGAACCCTCTGCGGGAGCGCTGCCACACTCCCAGTGCGCCACCAGGCAGGCCCTAAAAGTGTTTTCAATGGCAATTTTTAATTTTAAACTATGTGAATATTCTTTCACATAAAGATCTGCTGGACCTGCAGAAAAAATGAGTAGGGAGAATATTAGTTAGGATCTTGCCATAGGCTTATGGTAAGGGGAGAAGTGTTCTATTATGTAACTGTTATGGTCCCTTTACATATATACATATATGTATAGGTATATATATATACAATTCTCACTTTTTTTTTTTTTTTCCTTTTTTGTCTTTTTTTCGTGTCCGGCAACGGATCGCAACCCTGTGTCGCGCCGTACCGGACCGGCAACGGGATCGCACCCCTCGGTATCGTGCCCGCACCCTGCTCAGCCAGTGAGCGGGAACCGGTCAGTATGTGGGATCTGAACCCTCGGTGGGAGTGCCGCAGCGCTCCCAAGCGGCGCACTGTAGCAGTGCGCCACCGGGCCGACCCTCACTTTTTTAAGATGTGCAAAGATAATCAATTAGTATGAGTTATTTAACTCCTTTTATATAACATATTGTAGGGCTGGATCTTGATCTTTTCCCATGAAACTTTTGGTAGTTTGGGAACCAAATCCATGAGGGACATCTGATTCTAGTACTTGAGTTGGAAAAACTGGAAAGTAGTCAAAGTAGCAGCGTTCTCGGAAAAAATTCTCACTTCTTGTCCACTATAAGCATCTAAGTCAAGGGCCTCCTCCAAGCTTACTTGCACCAAGGGACGGGAGGAGTCTCTCTTCTGGATCCAGAAGGGGGTTTAGTCAACACTGAGTTGCTCAGTGCGCTTCATAAAAATTCTTCTGGCTGAAGGTTCTACGTTGGCATAAATTTTGGTTCCCTTTTCTCTTCCGAGGCGGCAAGCGTCTCTTCCTTTGCCAAGATGGCGGCCCTAGAGTCCTCTGGAGGCGGCCCCTGTAGGTCGTCTCCGGACGAGGGGCTTTATGAAAACCTAGTTCTTTCCTTTCATATCCGACAATGCAAAGGGCAGCGTTTACCCTACAGAACCGAGGAAAGGCGACTTAGCATACCCGCGATCGAGAACCTTTCCCAAGATGGTGGCCGGGAGGCTGGGCTGGCTTCACCGTCCTTTACCAAGATGGCGGCGGCCGGCTTCCGGCACGCGCTTCCTCAATCATCTTCAAGATGTCAGACGGAGGCAGCCGCCGTCAGAGCTTGAGCGCTGCAGGAGGAGAGACAGTGGCTGCGGCCGAGCGCTCGGGTAGGGACTAGGTGGAGCTGTGGCAGCCCCGCCCCTGTCAGGAGCTGGCAAGCTCTGTCACCTGTGGGGGCGCAAAAGTTATCTCCCCAAACCCTAAAGCCACACTGCACAACCTTTCCCCGAGTCCCACAAATAATAATATGTGCCGCACAAGGTAGGAAGCTCGGTCTCGGCAGCGCCCAAGCCTTCAGTCCGCGGGGACGCCCCACGCCCCTCTCCACTCCTTGGGGACGGGCCACGTGTTTCCCTCGGACTGATGAGGAGGTGCATAACGGGAACAGCTGGAGGGAGTTTAATGCTGACATTTTAAAGCTGCGTGTGTTTTGTTTTATTTGGAGGAGCAAGGGTCCCATGAACGCGAAAGGGTGAGCGACGCCTCCAGGCGAGGGCAGCGAATGTCAAGATTCGGGGGTGGGGCCTCCACCGGGAATTTGGACGCGGGCCCTGGAGGGGGTGGAAGGAGAGGTCAGGAGTTTGGGATGGCGGGGAGGGCGTCCTTCGCCAGCAACTTACTGTTTCGCCTGCAACTTCCTTATGGAACTGGCACCCCTTGCCTTACTTAATGATAATAAAAAAGTGCGAAGAAATCGGGCTCGCCCGCCCGGGGTTTTGCATTTGGCGTGCAACTTCCTTCGAGTGTGAGCGCGCTGGGAGGGAGGGGTGAGGATTGAATTTGGCAGGCGGCGCCTCCTTCTGCCGCCGCCGCCGCCTCGCAGACTCGCGGAAGAGGGTGGGGGACGGCCGGGGCGTGGGGGAGGGTGGGTTGTGCTTTGCAACTTCTCTGCCTGTGCAAGAGCCCGACGGCGGCTGCAGACCGGGCCGCCCAGACGATGCGGGGGTGGGGGACCAGCAGGCACGCGACTGCCCCCAGGCCCAAAGTAGGTATGCGCTGACCCCCCCTCCGCTGCCCTCCTCTCTTTCTTAAACCCCCACAGAGGGAGTGACTGGCAGACCGACCCCGAGAGCGGCAGAGACGCTGCGGCACCGTTGCCGTGCAAACCTGTGGTCTCTTTCGAAGAGACACACTTTGCAACTTGGCCCGGGAGAGGCGGCGCGGACGACCCCCGAGGCTCTGCTGCGGACTGCGACGCGCTCCCTTCCACCGCCCGCTGTCACCCGCAGGGGCGCTGGCGGTGCTTGCCGCCGAGGGACAGGGCGAGCTCCCGTGTGCGTCCGGAGCCGCGGAGCTGGGCAGGGGCGGGAAAGAGACAGCTAGAAGAGAAACTAGAGAAACTCGGTTTCCCTCCTAAACCCGTCGCAGAGAGACCAGGTCGGTCGCCGCCGCCTCACTTTCTTTTACCTTGGGGTGGGGGGTTGAGGAGAAGCCCCACGCGCCCCCGGGCC